TAATCTTCTTTTCGGTCCTACTCGTTACCGCAGTGATCAGAATCAACTACAGAACAGAGCTAGGGTAGAGCAGCGACACAATTCACCCACATGGGCTGTGTTCAAAACCCAGATCCCATCTCACCCTTTCGGTATTGTTAGACAGGTGTAAGACTGAAATGTAGTGACGAAAAAAGCTGTTCTTTACCTAAGTTGACCTGCGCAAGCCATTGAATGTTATAAGCAAATACACATTCAAAAGCTGGCTAAAGTGGAAGTCAAAGGTACGGCGCAAGGAAATATCCCAAAATGGAACGATCACCTGTGGACGCTTCTCATTTCTCCTTGTGTGAGCTTCCATCCTATAGTGATGAATAGTTGAAGAAATGCCCGACGCCAATCAATGCCTTTTGGGATGAGCCACGGACACCAATTCCATTCAAGCTTCGACTGCAGCGTATGAATGCGACCGTAGTCTACGCAATCATAGCGACAAGTTGGCCAATGAACTTCCTACCGTATTCAACATCATGACATTACAGTTACGAATTAATGAACCCGAATAATACGAAAAGCTTGGTTTGAGAGGCCAAGGTTCGGTCGAATTCTGGTCTAGGACTGCGCCACTAAATCACATACAGGGGTGGCCAAAAAAGACACTTTGCCCATGGCGCACATCATCGAACTTTTCGTCGCACAGGGAGCCGATGTTAATGAAAGTTTTACGGCGGAATATTCCTTAGGTGTTCCCCCGTAAACAGAAGCAGGCCCTCCTTCACTGCCCCCGCCGTCTTCAGAATATGACGTCATCTGCCGCCACCGTCGAGCTCAACGAGGCTTACCGTAATCGCTCCGGCCTGAAGCTGCTACATAATTTCTTCAATGGATTAACTGTTGAATAGCTTCCAGAGACATTAGCTGTGACTGCAAAACCGCTTTTGACCAGCGTTTCAGGGACGTCGTAATGGTCTATGGTACCTCGACGACCTCGTTGAGCTCGTACCGTGAACCATGTTTCCGTGGGAAAATCTTCTGATGTCGTCGGTGTAGAAGGCTGTCATGTAACTTTAGATAGATTAGAATGTGCTCTTTAATACTGAGTTGGGGGCAGTCGATTTGATTTTAGCAAAGTGTGATTAATGCTGTCTGAAATGTGGAGTGAAGTGTCTCTTTTTTTTTGGCCACCCCTGTACATCAAATACCTAAATTACGATTTTGAAAGTGACTAAATAGCTATAGAAATCAGATTCTCGATATCTATCTGACCATTAATACAGGGTTTCTAATAAGGCCATCGACGTTTGTCACTTCATCCGGGGAAAAAGCTTACTCATAAGATCTTCCGAATAGAATTAGTCTATGCTCAATATGATCGGCCAGCAATTTAAAATCATTTTTAGCACTTTTCAAAGGACGAAAGTGCTGCGTGAACGCTATCTATTTCTCTAAGTTTTTTGCTGATTGAAGGAATTTCTCTATGGATTATGTGAGAAATGGAATGAAATTATTCTAATGCGTTCATTAACTATTCCATCATATAAATAAGACTTTGAGCTCATTTTGATTTCAATTTCAAGAATTCTCTGCAGCTATGTGAAACTCTAACTGCTGAAGAAAATCAGATTTGTGGGAAAAAATCTGAGAACCTTCGATGAATTCTATAGAATTCCCACTTTAATATTAACGAGTCATATTCTTCTTTAGTTTATTATCTGCACTCATAGTCATACTGAGCGTTCTCTGGAGTGTCAGTATTTCCGTATGAATTTCGATTCATCTAATTACTGGAGGTTATTATTACTGGTTATGGGTGTAAGTGTAGAGGCAAGTGGCGCCGTTTCCACGCGCACGGTCCCCCGAATCCTCAATACTGCTGAGCGAAACCAATCCCTCAATCCTCCTTGGATAGGTCAATCGGTACCACAAACGTCGGATAGATCAAAAGACTATCAGCTGACATCCAGCAAGTCATGGTAGAGATCAAACCGGGTGCACGTATCCTTACGACTCTGACCACGAAGGTCTTCCAGGGGGTGCCAAGCTTTTTCAAAACGGTTTTTTGCATGATATAGGGGCAGGACCACAGAACCATGTTCATTTTTCCTGAACGGCCCTCTGAATACCAGAAAAGGGGGTCCCTAGTTCGATTCCTCGTGGTGACAAATTTTTGCATTTCGAGTTGAAAATTCGCGCAAAATGGAGTTAGCATGAATAATTAGTACCATATTCATGATTAGGACCGTCAGTAACCCTTACAAATAGACTTTGATTAAAAAACTGGTGAAAAAGGTGTGACACCAAAACGGCCCCACTGTGGTGTCACACCTTTTTCACCAGTTTTTAATCAAAGTCTATTTGTAAGGGTTACTGACGGTCCTGAATATGGTACTAATTATTCATTCATGCTAACTCCATTTTGCGCGAATTTTGGAACGTCAACTCGAAATGCAAAAATTTGTCACCACGAGGAATCGAACTAGGGACCCCCTTTTCTGGTATTCAGAGGGCCGTTCAGGAAAAATTAACCATGGTTCTGTGGTTCCCGCATGTGCCCCTATATCATGCAAAAGACCGTTTTGAAAAAGCTTGGCACGCCCTGAAAGACCTTCTTGTAAGTAGAACGGCTCAGATCAACGCCGAATGCTTTATATTATTAGGTCGTGAAGAAAGTTCTTGCGCTTTTCGACCTTGATTTTCAAATGCCTGTATCTCGGCTCATTCGAAACCTTTTTGATTGGAGTAAAGACTGTTAGAATCCACAAACCTCTGCCAATAATAGCTGCGTTGAATCAGCCCGGTAGTGCAGAATACTGGAGCTCTAGAGACGATGAACCCGGCGGAGGTCGTTTCCGCATCATGTTGGTTTTTGAAGCATAACTCTTTGGAGAAGCTATCCAGGTAGTCGAGAAAGTGACAAATTATAGGCAAAAGGTCTACCGAGTAGGATGTTCGCAGGACTAATTCGTAGCCAATCTTGTCCAACTTCTGCAGGGTTGGTTGTGGAATGTGCGTCCGAGCTACCTGTCAGGGACGAGCCGGTTCCTTTATAATGAGGAATTTCGAGCATATGTGCCAGAGTTCTAGGAGTAGTTTGACACATTATCAGGAGTACTTTTTCCACATTAACAGATCCACCTGGTTACGAAAAGCTAGACCAGCCGCTGACCTTATGAAAGTCACCTCAACCTTCCTTCAGTGAAGTTTCACTTTTGCAAAGTTTGTAGAGCCTGATCGCGGTCGATCACTTCACCAAAGGTTCGTATTCTGTAGCAAAGAATCCGTTCTTTGTCGTGCGTCGCAAATGATCAAAAGTCAGGTCGTTTTCATGGCATGAAACAAGCTAGAACGCGGCGAACGACCCTTCAAAATGGTGAGCTGTCGCGGCACGCCCTATTTGAATTTTTGGGACTTTCCAGCTCTTCCCGTACAACAAGAAAACACAATGCAAGTGCGATTAGTTTAGGAGGAACCCTCTCAATAGATTTGTGCAAACGTGCTTCAACCAGAACGTTCGACTCGTTGGCGTTGTCCAATCTCCGATCACCACCCTCACAATCTTTAGGGCTCTCGCTATTCTTACAAAAGCTTTTTGAACAATTGCTTCAGACCATATTTATTGCGAATCTCAGCCAAGTGCGTCTATAATATCTTGACCTGCTTCCTCTCCATACTGGCCTGCTTTGAGCTAGAAAAAGGAAATCATGCAAATTTGCTCTTGGAGTATGCCGTATTCAAGGCTTCAAAAAATGACAACTAAATAATAAGGAACATAGCTAGCCTAGCTGTTAGATAGAACAAGAAAAGCTCTTCAAAACCACATACAGCTCATTGGCAGCTTGCTTGAATTCGTAACAAAATAAAGCGTTCAAAAACGAAACACCGAAAAGCGCAAGAACTTTCTTCACGACCTAATACTATTTCTTTGTGATCGAGTCACTTTGATATCATGCCATCGTCACCCTCCTCATCACAGCCTCATTAAAACATTACAACACGAAATACCATTCCGTATGGAAAATGGTCGACGGAAAAGCGTCAGTGAAGATTGAGCTACCAGCACTATCCACCAATTCCCGGCTACCAAAGAAGCCAACTGGAAGCCTTCATCATTCTCTTCATATCAGAACATCTGGGACGGTAGCAAAGTACCCTTAACTCGCAATCAGAAGTAACGATCGGAGATTCTAAGCAAAGAATAAAGAATGGAGAGTGCGATCCAGCCCAGATCAAGCAAGAGCTTCCTACTTTAGATTTCAGACGACAAAATATCAGGAAACGAATAAATAAGAAAAAAAAAGGTTGCAAAAGTACCTGAAGATTATGGATCGCAGCTGCATTCTTTGATTCCTAACAGGTTGAGCTGGTCAGAGAAGAAAAAAGAGCACGGGATTGAAGAGGCGCAGTCACCACGTCTGACACGTATGACCCTCCAGTAAAAGTCCTTCGGAGTACTTTTTACTCGTGGGTCAACGTGGCGTCTGCGCCTCCTCGACCTCACACTATTTCTTTTCTCTGCCTAATTACGAATTAGGTTTACAAGTTAACTCTCTAACTACTAATTAAAATGGTTTTTTTGGTTATGATCTAACTGTAGGTTAAACAAGACTTAATGTGTTGAGAAGCGCTCTAAACCTGTTATCTAAACTGACTTTGGTCTGAGCTAATCTCGACACGTTAACTCTGAATTAATGGAGGTTTGCTACCCGTCCCTGGACATAGAGGTTTGATGCTTCCCAAGATTGGCCATAATTGAGCATTTGCTATTTTCTAACCGATCTGGGTGTCAACTCAACACCAAAGATGTAAGATGTAAATGGATTGTCGCGCAAAATGTTTGTACGCAATTGTTTGTAAAAGCCTTACCTTGTCATTTTTTCATTTGATATCATAAAGAAGCAACCCATTTTCTGAAACTTCTTCAAACTTTTATTATACTAACAGTTATTATGATTAATTTAGGCGATTCCGAGGGAACGGTCCCGCCGTTATTTGTCTACATTATGTATTTCATTCACGCACTACCGTTCACCAATTCAGCCATTAATTGGATACTCTACGGTCAGTTCCCTTCGAACGTTTGATTTAATTAAATTAATAAATTCAAATTCATTGTGGCAATTTTTAGGGGCGTTGAACGGCCAATTGCAGCAGCGATGTCGACGCACGCGGTCTATGAAGAGCACAGCTCCATCAAGGCTGGCAGCGCCAAGTACCATGAAGTTGACGCCGACGGTAAGAAGCCCGACTCCGTCCGTTCTCGCGACATCATAGAGTGATATTCTACAGATGAACGGCTCGGCGACGGCCCTCAATCCGCCAACGGAAGGACTTCATAGCACCAGTGAAAATTCTGAAATGGTTGACGTCCGACTGCTGACCGTTCATGAGCCCACTCATCTCTAGCCCCTCACAGGTCCCCGCTAGTCGCTTATCCATTTGTGTTGCTCTGTTTTCAATCACATACACGGGTATATAAAGTCTTACTGTTTCTTGTTTAGCATTTACACTCATGAAAAGTTTCGTGGCTTTTGGAAGTCAAAAGGCAAGACAGCGGCAGGAACAGCAATGGCAAAGATTCCCGGATATTATGGAAATAGAACACGAGAAATGGTGCTATCGCAAGATACTGGGGCATCCTTCACAACATAGAGTGGCCAATTCCGAAGGAAATGAACACCAATCGCGCCCACTAGAGTATATCCTCTCCCGTCTAACCAGGGAGGTCTCTGAAATCTCAGGAACTCGGAAAGGTGATCTAGGTAAATCGAGAGAGTCTTGGACGCTGATTATAAAATTTACTCTAATTCAATAAAACTATATGGACACTAAAACCGCTACGTGGACTTCGTAGGAAAGTTGTGAGCCTTCAGTGTTGCATAAGAACGCTAATGATGAGGCACAATCAATGAAGTGACACACTGTTACTTTTTGCCTGATTACGAATATGAGACCAGGGTCAACCGTCCGTTCGCACTATTCGAACGAGGCGGTCTCATTTTGGTCATAGGCCGAGGGAGAGGGTCGCAATTTCAAGGAACCCGCAAGCGAAATCGCGACGGTAGTTGATCGGTGGATGAAGCACTGGGGAGGAACGCTCACAAAGAACATGAAGTCATCATAAACTCAAAATAATTATTCTTTCAGGCTTGCCCGTTCGTCCGAAGGTTTCTCCCGTGAATTACCAATTAAATCGCCCCAAAAAAATCTTCCTGTTTTCAACCCACCTTTCTAGGCGAGAGCTGCTCGTCAACATCAGAGCGTGCAAATAGCAGAACCAAAAATTGAGGGCAAGTCCGATCATGCAAGATAAATAAAACATTCAAACGCTAGCCCACAGGCGCGTACGCGTGGCGTATTTGAGGACGAGACTTGGCCCTGTGTCACCGCCCGACTTACGCACCTCTCATTATGCCACAGAGGGACAGTCCCTAGGCACATCACGATGTATTCTCCACGAAGCACAGACAGTTGATGCATGCCGCTATAAGAGATTGACTTCTCAGGCTGAATATAAAGTCCTCAAGAATGCTAATTTTTATGGGGAACGACCGCTTCCAGAGAATTGTGGATCAGATAAGGAAGCAAGAAATCCAAAGGAAGTAGATCATGTGCTGGCATCGCTCAAAAACTCGAATGACTAGTCAAAGCATGGGAAAACGTGCGAACGTGTGATTTTCTCAAAAAATGAACTTTGTGAAACGGTTTAGTGCTTGTTAAGGAAAGCAAATCCTTTACTTTCTCCTCATGCAAAATGTGACTCACAGAAATGAAAATGGAGTTATGCCGCTGAAAGCCCAAAAACCCGCCTTCGCACGGAAAATGTGCGAACGGGACAATTTCCTGAAAGAAGGGGCCGAGCACGAAACTTTTCATACTGTTTTCAATGGGGAAATATCTGTAGTTTTTGAAACTTTTTACAGTTTTCCAAAATGTCGCATACGAAAGATATTATGGGCCTTCAAAGTTGAAGGTGCGCCTTCTTAGAATTTTGGGGTTTTCCTTCTAACAGAAGTACTTTCCGGAGAGTTAGGCAATCCTTGTAGTTTTCTGAAAGCGCACCTCAGGCACAGTTCAAATCTACCTCAACAAGTCAAAAAATATGTCCCAAGAAAGTTACCCTCCTAAAATATTTCCTTTCGCCGCGTCCCGTTCTTCCAGCGTCCGGGTGATACCTGCCGCGCTCCAAGGCTAACGCCGCACGCACCTGGACCCCTCTCAGAGGGAGGGGGGTCGCAAAAACTTCGAAAAAGTGCGAGCGTGACGGTTAACCCTGTATGACACTCGTTTTTGACGCAGAGCTACGGCGACTGTGATTTCATCGGGTAGGCTCGCCTCAGCGTTTTTTGCCAAATTTGAGTGCTCATACCTTTCTTAGGGAGTTCGTAGCTTTTCAGTATCCATATTTGTAATCAGCGTTCAAGACTTTATCGATATATCTTCGTCTCCGCCCAGAGTACCATAGTTTTCAAAGCCATTTTCTACGTAAGGCCTAATCCCGTTTCCAGAAGGTGATGTTTTACGCGTCTCGATGCATTGCTAACCACGACGGCCCTGTATCTCACGAAGTGCCCAAGGAGTACTGCTTATGAGCGAGGAACTGTTGACAGCTTGCTCAAAATAGGCCTTCCCCCCAAGCAGTAGATCAGATTTATGGATCAGTGGATTAATATTAATAATATACGGCGTTGGCCAATAGTGATTCTTTTCTCTCTCGAACAAAAGGCAGTTGGATGACTTTCTAATGTTCAGTATGAAAGACACAGGAGCCGGCCGATGTAGCGACAACATTAGCGCTTGCACAATCAAGTCTAGCACCAATTAGTCCACCCTAGGGATATGGAAGACGTGGCTGTTGCGAGGCATTCGTTACTCGCGGCGCTCCTGCCCACCGTAGTGTTGAATATTTACATTCGCCTCATTAAACAATGAAAACGTAGCCTTAGTAACAAAGAAATCGATGACTACTTGAAATCCATTAACCAATGGTTGTTTCTGTTGAACCTGAGACCTCCCACAATTTACATAACTGCTGTGCCACTGCTATGCAAGTTTTTTCTGATTACCAGCTTTTTATCAACTAGTTATTCCAGCTTTTCGTTATTGCACCTGCCTGCCATTTTTAAGGGCAAAGCTGTCGGTTTCGATGATTTTTTGGATGCGCCACGCATTCTACTTCAATTCAAAGTCCCTGTAAAGTTTGAATGCGGAACGTCCTATTGGACGAATTGCGGAACCAGATGAAGAGCCCTCCCCTTCAAAAAGCGAGAAAGTGTCGGGTGCAGACCATGCACCACAAGTGACGACGGCCTTCACAAAATGTTAATGTTTTCTGCCAATGAAATGATTAGCCTGTTGCAGTTGTATTCTATCGGAGTTAACTACTATTGAGAAGGCAACATCAACAAATCCCCTCTCTCTATGTTTCAGTGAAGAAAATCCGTTCTCTGGAAGTATTTTTTTCTCCCCGTCTCTTCCACCGACTACGTCCGTTCCACCAAAAACGACACTCTATAACCTTCACAAGCAGCAAATCCACCCCCAAAACTTCGACGCAAAATCGATAGGTTAACCCCCCCGCTTCACACGCTCCTGTTATTGAAGAACTATGTTATCCTGATGAAAAATTAGCGAATCATTAAAATCATTTGGAGAGCTGACGCAGCGTTTTGAGATGTAGTGACGCTTTTTGAGGTCCGTTCTGTGAGTGCACTCCATTGATCCCCTGTGAGCGTTGACTGACACCACAGTTAGCTCTCGAGAGTTCTAAATTCAAGGATATTAACTTTGGCCTGCATAGCAACTCATCGCTGTGATCGAATTCAATTCCATGCGCTCATGAAAGTTAAGCGTGGCTCTTTTCCGACTGTTCAAGGACTTCCTCCGTCCTATTTTTATTTACCTACTTCTACTACAGGAATCTTGTCCTTCTAAAACAACCCTTTTGTTTGAATGTTCACTACTTTGAAGTACGATTTGCCCTTTTAAGGTCTAGTCGCAGCACGGTAAGGCAGAAATCAGGACACTCAGATTACAGAGATCATACCAGAAATCCTCTCATCAGTTATTCTAGTATAATTTCCATCACGCAAATTAAGTGACATCAATGCTATAAATATGCAAATTGGCCTTGAATATATGAAGTGGCTCGTGCCGTTTTCTTGTAAGATGAGCCCATGTTTTTGCAAGACCCTCGAGAATTATCGGTGGCTGGTTACGTCGATAGGTGAAGATGCTCTAAAGAGGAAAAATCGTCCAAAAAGCATCGAGAGGGCTTTTCCTGTTCGAATGAAACCATCTCCAAAGACTTAGATGAACAATATCGCGTGAGGAAGAGTAGTGTGATAGTGAAAAGTGGAGCTTCTAGCAAGAGCATTGCCCGGAACCAAGTGCCGAGAACGAATTCATTCCAGAAGCTATGTGTCCCATACATCCGGACAGGGTATATAGTGACACCTCTAGGCCACAAATTAAGCATACATATGCAACTAGCTACTGTGGGTAGAGTGCTCATTGGCTTGCGAGAAAGGGTTGACTAGCGGAATTTTCACCATTTTATTATATCGGCACATAATTTTTGGGACGCCATGTGTGTTTTTCGATTTACAACTTTCCTCTCTTTCTTGCTTATCCATTAAAGGAATCTTCCGCGGAAAAAGCTCCGCCTCCATTACCACAGAAAAACGATACCCCTTAGGCCCCTAGCCTCATGAGCATAGCAAAAAGAACGGAACATAAGCGTTAGTTTCGATAATACTAATCCTACACACAAGACAAAATGATCACTCTTTCCGTGGAAGATTCCTTTAAGGTATCGTTTTCTGTGGTAATGAGGGCGGAGCTTTTTCCGTGGAAGATTCCTTTAAGTATACACCACCACTACTAGCAGCGGTGAATTTCCAGTTCGGGCCGGAGGCACTCCATTGTTCCCCAATACCCAATATAAGGATGAGAGCGCTCACGACCTGTAATCGACTCGGTCCTTATCAAAAGTACGCTTGGAATGAGTCGTTTTCTTGTTATCTTATCCATAGTGTTGGATAGCCCTGAAGGACTGCTCTCTAGTACTACGGATAAGGAAAGCAATGGAGTTCCTCTTCCCCCACAGGCTGGATGTTCACCATTAGCAGCATATCGTCTACGTGAGGAAAGTGTGTGATGCCTCTTTTGTGAAATTCCATCATTTTTTAGTTATGAAAAATTAGATGTCGATTCTACCATTACAAGATTTTTTATAAGTGGAGTAGAGAAGGGAGCAGATAATCGTTTGCTGGCATGAGCTTAGGGTTGCAGGGACGACGCTGAAAGAACTTAAGCCCGAGAGCTTCCAATTTTTCATAATTTTTTTCGCAAGGTAAACGACCACAGAAAAGTGCAGAGTTTGTCTTGCTCTGCTCTCAAACTTG